AATAAACAAGGGCCAACTGTATTGAGTCATTCTGTTGTATATCTGAAACTAATATATGTCAATGGTACCCCAATTAAAACGTTTCATCACTGTACCCCATCTGTTCCTATGCCTAATCACAGGTACTTACCAGTGGACAGCAGAACCAGAATTCTCAACTGACAAGATTCATCTGTCCCAGGACTAGGGAAAGGTTAGGGAATGGGTGGGAGTCCCATGATCTGGAGCCTAGGATAAAGGATGTGACTGTCCAATGTGTGCAGGAGGGCCTGAAAGCCAGGGTGGGAATCTTTGTTCCTAACAGCCAAGAATTTCTCTCCATTCCACCCTTCCCCACCCCCAACAACAGAATAAAAGAAGTAAGACTGCCCAGCCAGTGTGGCTCAGTGGATTGAGCATCAGCCCATGGACTGAGAGGTCCCACTTTCATTCCCAGTCAGGATGATGGGCTCAATCCATGCAGAAGGCTTGGATCAATGTTTCTCTCATATTGATTTCTCTCTCTCTCTCTCTCCCTAAAAAAATCAATAAAAACATGTAAAAAAAGTAGACTGGGAATCAAAAAGTAGAAGGTGTCTTATCTGTCCTGCAAGATCTGACATAACACCTGCCCATCTTCGATGAATAAAGCTTTGCTAAATGGAGGAGCTGAGTATCCCCAGTCCAGCAGGGGTGCCAGCACAGTCACTCTGGGTTAGGGTCTGAATAGATGGGGTGAAGAGGGGCTCTGTGCCCTGTGTACTGTGGCAGTTCTTATTCTGGAGACTCATTCTCTTCAACCTAAGCTTTATTCTTTGTTGTTTGTTTTGAGGAATGGGCAGTAATTTATTATTTCTTAGATTCCTAGTGAACATAATATCTTTTTGTTTCAATTTTTTTCCTTTATTGATTTTAGAGAGAGGAAGTGAGAGAGAGAGAGAGAGAGAGAGAGAGAAACATTGATGAGGACATTGGGGATTTGGCCCACAACCCGGGCATGTGTCCTGACCAGGAATCGAACCGGCAACCTCTGAGCCACACCGACCAGACTGAACATAATATCTTAAATGGAAAAGAGAACTGTTGCCCTGGCCAGTTTGGCTCAGTGGTAGAGCATCAGCCCACGGACCAAAGAGTTGCGGGTTCAATTCTGATCAAGGGCACGTACCTCAGTTGTGGTTTGTCCCCAGCCCTGGTTGGGGTTGTGCGGGAGGCAACCAGTCTATGTGTCCCTCTCTCGTCGATGCCCCGCCCCCATCTAAAGATAAATAGAAAAATATCCTCGGGTGAGGATTAAAAAAGAAAAGAAAAGAGAACTGTCCATACCCAGACCAGGACAGTAGCGCAGTCACAATTTCTTCATTAATAAAATTCATTTGGACTATGTAGTTTCTAAGATCCCTCCCAGCTCCAAAGTTCTGTGATTCTAAGTAAACTAAAAGTTAAGAGAGGGGAATAGGACATTCATTCAACAGATATGTATTACTATGACTGTGTTCTAAAAACAATGAGTACAAAATTAATAAGGCACCCTCGCAGGTGTGGCTCAGTTGATTGAGCATCATGCTGTGCACCAAAAAGTCCCTGTCAGGGCACATATCCAGGTTGTGGATTCGATCCCCAGTGGGGGTGCACACAGAAGGCAACTGATCAATGTTTCTCATGTCAACGTTTCTCTCTCTCTAAAATCAATAAAAAAAATTTCCTGACCTGTGTAGCTCACTGGTTGAGCATCAACCCATGCACCAAGAGATTGCCAGTTCACTTCCCGGTCAGGGCACATGCCCAGGTTGTGGGCCCAATCCCCAGTGAGGGGCATGCAAGAGGTGGCCAATCGATGTTCTCTCTCATTGATGTTTCTATCTCTCTCTCTCTCTTCCCTTCCTCTCTCTCTAAAATCAATAAAGAAAAAATATTTTTAAATAATAAAATAAAACCAATAAAAAACTGATATAAAACAAAACAAAGTGAATAAGGCATTCTGCACTGGGGGACCATAAAGCCAAGTGAGAAAATAAACACTAAGTACTTAGAACACTGTGTAAACTTTGTAAGGTTACATTTCTTGAGCACCAAGTGCCATTCCGAGTGCTTGATAATTTAACCTCACAATACTATTAAATAGGTACTATTATTATTAAGGTTTATGCTGGTAATGGGGGCTGTGAAAGAATTCACAAAGAAACAGAAGAAATGCAGGGAGGACATTTATTTACTTTCCAAGGGAGGAAAGGGACAAAACACTGATAGAACAATGCCACCCTGAAGAAAGAGTGGCTTGAATTTTTAAAGAGCAAGCAGTTGCTGTTGCTAAGTGACAAGGAAGGAAAGAAGGGGGTTCTTTTCAGTTAGTCATTTGATGGGAGTTGTTTTGAAAAGTTTGTTTGTTTTCCAGGGGGCAGTCAGGTAGCTATGCTGAGGACCAGCCTTGTCAGCATTTTTCCCATGTCTGGAAAGCAAGCTAAAAAAAAGTTATAAAGAATTCAAAAGGAGCCTTGGTTCAGTGGTTAGAGCGTCGGCCTGCGGTCCAGAGAGACCCGGGTTCAGTTCCTGCTAAGGGCACGTACCTTGGTTGCAGTTTCTCCCCGACCCCAGCTGGGGTTGTGCAGGAGGCAGCCACTCGATGTGTTCCTTTCACATCGATGTTTCTCTCTATCTCCCTCTCTTTCTCTCTCTCCCTCCCACTCTATCTGAACAGAAGTGGGAAAATGTCCTCGGGTGAGGATAAAAAAAAAAGAATTCAAAAAAAGATGCCTGTCTGAAGGAGGGGGGGGTGAGGAATTCTTGCTAATCATCCTGAAGTTAAGCTGTTAAAACAGCAGAAAAGAAGGGGTGTGGGGAAGAGCTCAGCCTTATCTCTTCATCTAGTCCTATTCTGTTTGGACAGAGGAGCCAACAACCTTGGGGTTTAATTACCAGGTGCTTCTCATCAATTGTGGAAAAACCACAACAAAGAAAAGGAGAGGCCTATTTTCTATCCTTACAATTATCCCCTTTTCTCGCTAAAGAAATTGAGATATAAGTACGTTAAATTATTTGACAGTAAGTGGTAGAGCAAATAATCTGGATTCAGGGTCCATGTTCAATCATATAGCAATGAACTGAGCACTAATGATGGAAAATTCAGGATGAGGGTGCTCAAACTCTTTTTTGCTACAAGTTCCTGGAGATTTTTCAAGGTCAAATGGGTTTTGATCACATTTTCTTTGGCCTTTGGTGAGGTCCCCAAAAGTTTAACAGACAGCACAGCCATGAGCAAGACCATTTCTCTGGAGTCCACTGGGAGCTGGGTTCAAATTCCAGGTTTATCGTACCTAGTGAAATTGACCAACTCTAAACCCGATTGCATAACAGGAGTAACAATCAGCTTCATTTTGAGTCGGGAGAATTAAATATTGAGTTAAACATATGAAATTGGTGTTTCTGGAAGTCAAAAGTGAGGAGGAATCCAACAAAATAGTTAGCATTCACTTATGCCTCTAATTTTTAAAAAACTCCAGCTCTAAATTCATTCTTCTATGCTGCCTGAAGTATAGTCTAGCTCAACTGTTTGTGTGGCCCTAGGGGGTCAGAAGTTGCATTAGTATAGCAATAGCCACAGGAGTTTCAGCAGTTCCTACAAGGAACTTTCCAGCCAGCTACAAGTACATTCCTTGGGGGCCAGAGAAGTCAACATGCATTGTGGCAGGATAGTAAGAACCTAGAAAGATTCCTGGGCAAGTGGAAGGAGAAACTGAGACAAGAAAATTAAACAAAAATGGAAAAAAATATCCTCGAGTGAGGATTAACCAAAAACAAAACAAAAAAAATTATAATAATTAGAAAAGGAAATTAAATAAAGTCAAACAGTTTGTGCAGCTTGCAGCAAGCCCTTATCTTCCCCAACCAAGGACACTTGAGAGCAAATGGTTAACACCTCTCCTCCCTAATCAGTGAATACAGGGAAAAGGGGAGAAGAAAGGAATTTTATTTCACCCACTGAACAAAGAAGTCAGCAGTCTTGGGACTTGCCAAGATAGAATTGCCAGATGTTCTCATAAGTTCTGGGAAAAGCCACAACAGAGTAAAAGGGGGATCTTAAACTCTAGTCTGTGCCCAATATATCCAGCAGGGAAGCTTTGAAACCTATGGGGAAAAGGGTATAAAACTGCTTGAACCTCACTGGGTGGTGCACTCAGACTAGCTGGGTGCCTGCTTGTGCTATATGCGAAGTATATTTTTAATAAATTTGCATGCTTTGCTTCAACACTGATGTCTCACTTGTTTGAAATTTCTTAGGGGACTGACAAGAGCAGAGGAGAGGACAGCCCTCTCCCTCCCACTCAGGTCTGTCTGCTAACCCCATGACAGCTTCATGCCCTACCTAACACACACAGACTCAGCATGCACTTTCACTTGTCTTTCTACACCCTATTTTACCCTTGTTTGTCCCTTGCTGTACAACTGTTAGTGGCATTGGTTCCATTTTTAAATGTGGAAACCAAGCAAGGCCTACAGAGGTTCTGGTCTCCTCTAAGGTCTCAGACACTGCGTGGTGTTGGAAATAACGTGGGTTTGGCGTTAGATCACCCCACGCACTACCTCTATTTATGTGCCCTCCGCAAGGTCCTTGAACCTCTCCCGGAACTGTTTCCTTTTCTGGAGAAAAGCACTAATACCTTTCTTTCTCACACAATTCTTTTCTGTTCCACCCAGGGTCTCCCAGGCCTGCCCTTGGAACTCTGGCTGTGGCAGTAGGATCCGCGACCCACTGCGGAGAGCACTTGCGCTCAGGGGCGTAAAGGGGCCGCAGGGACACACCCGCAACCCTCCATAAATATCAACATTTGATTTTCACTAGAGACAAAACTGGCCTCCACAGTCCCAGGTTCAGACGGACCCTAACTACCGCAATGCGCCGGAAAAAAAAAGACAAAGACTAAAATTACCCCGCCCCAGAAAAAACAGACCGGCCCGGTCACGCCCTCAGTGGGCGGGGCCGGAAGCTCCGGCTACCAGTCCGCGCCTGCGCGCCGCCATCTTCTTCAAAGAGAATACTTCCCAGTGGACAGAACGTTTGTTACCTACTAGGCGGGGCGAGGCCATGGCGACTGAGGACCCCAGCGAGCACGCGGCGCGGGCCTCTACCCTGGGACACGTAGCACTAGCTGCGGGGCCGCCCTCCGGGCGAAGCGGCCGCGGAGTCCCCCGACTCGGGGAGCGGACCTCTGCGGCTGTGGAGAAGCGGGGGCCGTACATGGTGATACGCGTACCTTCCATTCAGGCCAAGCTGCGTGAGTGCGGCCCGATGGGGTCTCTGCCTGGGCGGGCTGCCAGGTCCCCCGGGCGGGCTCAGGAGCCCCGCTAGGGCGACCCTTGAGAGGTACCTACAGCCCACTCCCGTCCCCGAAAATCTGTTCGACAAGAGTGGGTTCCTGGCGTTTGGGAGAAACGGCGGAGTAGGGAAGACCCCGCTAACCTGGGCCCTTTGACTTCCAGAGAAGCACCGAGACTTGGCCAAAGCCGTTCTGCGAAGAAAAGGCATGCTGGGGGCCTCGCCGAACCGTCCCGACTCTTCTGGGAAAAGGTGTCAGCAGGCGCCACCACCTCTGAGCAGGCAGCTTTCAGAGAAGGCCTTAGCCCTCGGGCAGGCGGACAGGGGACAGGGGACTCACGTTTAAGGCCCAACTAGGGATTCCCCTGACGCCAACCTGTCAGGTTCACTATTTTAAAATAGGAAGAGGAACGACCTTTCTTTTTTTTTCTTCTTCTTTAAGAATGTGATGGTATCAGGGCATAGAATCATTCATTGTCTAAGTTAAGGAGGATCATAATGCCTGGGTCCCGTGAAGATGGAGAGCAGTGGGGGACCAGCTAGTGGTGTGTATATATATATATATATATATATATATATATATATATATATTTTTTTTAAACAGTGATAAACTCTGAAGGTTAGATAGGACCTTATCCAGTACCTCTGGATGGAGATTTGGGACTGGCCTGAGGACTTACGGTTTTTCTGTGCTCTAGTTAAATGTGGTGGTGGGAGGCACCTTTCTCTGATTGATGCAAGTTTGGCTTTTTCTTAGTAGCAGTAGGGGGAATGGTGTAGAGAAGTGTATATTCTGAGGAGCTGTAGCCAGATACACAACTGGTGGTGGTGGCTGTGTGACCAGGTAGAAGGCAAGTCAGGAGTAGTGTTTTTTTGTTTTGTTTTGTTTTTTATCCTCACCTGAGGACAATTTTTGCATTTATCTTCAGATAGAGCTAGAGGGAGAGAGGGGGAAGAGAGAAACGTGGATGTGAGAGAGACACATCGACTGGAAGTCACCCACATGACCCCCACTGGGGCCAGGGACAAACTGCAACTGAGGTACATGCCCTTAGCGGGAACCAAACCCGGGACTCTGGTTAGAGCAGGTCGACACTCTAACCACTGAGTCAAACCATCCAGGGCTTAGTTATTTTTTCATAAGGACAAGGATTCTGACTTTCCCTGTAAATGCTGGTGATTCATCTATGCTTAATCTCTTCTCCCATCTTCCCTCAGGTCAGTGAAGTTTAACAAGGGCTATACTGCTCTTAGTCAGGGTCCAGATGAAAGCTTGGTGTCCCTCAGTTCTGACAGGTGAGTGCTGTTCTTGGAAATACCCCCTTGGGGAGTGACTTGAGTAAAACTGCAGATCACTTGGTGTCTTTGTTAGTTCCCTATGTCTTCCAAGACCCTTCATGCATGTTCCAGGGCTGTCTTCTTTGGAGCACTATTCCATCCCAAGATGGCTTGCTTAGAGGACCAGGAGGATTCATGCTGCTCTTGGATTTGGAGCACCAGCCTTGTCTGGGGAAACCATCCTGCCCTAATGTGTCTTGCATTGTTAGTGACAGTGACCTTGTCCCTGCTGGAGCCACTAAAGGAACCATTTGTACTCAGTAAATTCTGGGTTTGAGTTCTATGGTGTGTGGTCTTTACTTCATAAATCCTACAGACCCCTCTTGCATGCTCTTCACCTTACCATTTGCAGCTGTACTCCACAGGCATCTCCCTGAATTGACTATCTTCCTCTTCTCCTAGTGATGGGGAGCTGGAATCCAGATACTCCTCCGGGTATTCCTCTGCAGAGGCAAGTCCAGAGTGCCTTCCTGCGCGGGGCCAGGCGTCAGGCAGTGTTACCACCACTGCCAAATGCTTGTCTGGTGCCTGCTGTATGCACGGCACTGTGCCAGACTTCCGGTTGGTTCGCCAATCTTCTAATCTGCCCTCTTCCCAAAGCAGAGGTATAGGTGTCTGAAGAGGGCTGTTGAAAATTCAGGAGACCATAGACCCTTAGGGCTGGAAATGACCTCACAAGTCTTCTAGTTCAGGCCACCAATGAGAAAAGGAATCCTCTAGATAAATCCCATCTAAGTGTTTACCAGCCTCTGTTTGTCTGGCTGCTTCTTGTTTTGTCTTTTTTGTTGTTGTTGTTGCATTTTGTAATCAGGTTCTCACTACCTCCAAGAAACCTTGCTGCACACCCTTGCCCCAAGCACACATGCACAATTCCTTCTTCAGGTAGCTCTGAGAGCTGTCTTATTTGACATGCCTCCTGCAGCCTGGACTCAATGTTCTTAGGCCTGCCCTCCAGTGTCACGGTAATTTTAGTCTCCCTTTTTATTGTCTTTTATCTGAGATCAGCATTCCCATCCCTCCCCTGGCCACTATCCACCAAGCTTGCTTGCTTCCAGGCCAAACAACTTCTGTTTCTTCAACTGTTCCATCTAGGGGAACTCAGACTGAGATACTTCTGGGCTGGCCTTTAGGACGTTTCCAGAGTGATTGTCCCAGACTGAAACAAAGGACTAAAGTTCTGGCATGTGCAGTTTACTGCCATTGACATAAGTGAAGTATTAGGGACATGACTGTACACCATTGGTATTTCTTATTTTCCTGGAAACCATTGGCTACCCCCAAGCTTTTGCCAAACAGAATAGAAGCAGTTTGTAAATTGTATCCTTGTATATCTGGGTGCCTAAGATTATTAAAACTAAGAAAATAAAAATTAGCCAAGAGTCAGAGAAAATTCTATACTGTTCCCAGTCTGACTTTCCTTCTGCTCAGAGGAACTGGTAAATCCAGGCTGATAGGTTCCACTTCTCAGGGAATGAGCTCTGCTGGCATCACAGGATAATGTGTCTAATGGACAGTGCCCACAAAGCTGCTCTCTACCCCGTTCTACTGTAATTTATATTCCTTTACTATTCTACCCCATCGTTCTGTTATCGTCCCATATTTTTCAGCCTTCATAGGACCAGTTTCATTTCCCAGTGGGAATGGTCAGAGCATTGATTTTTCAAACATGTCCTGGAATCTGGTATTTGCATCAGATTCCTCAGTATTATTTAGAGAGAGCAGCTCCCTTGGGGGTTTGTGACAGCACAGCCTGGACAGTATTGGCTCAGGCTCCCTTTACTGCTGGCTAAGGCACAGGTAGGAAAAGCTGGCATTTATATCTGCAGTCCAGGAACATATGCGGTTGACCTGAGGGTGGAGAATGGACAAGAAGCTCTGTAAAGGGAATGTGCATCTGCATTTGGGACAGCAGTTATTTCCACTTTGCAGACTGGCTTATAGTTTTCTCTTCTGCTCTTAGCAGGTGAACCAGGATATGAGCCGCCAGCTGCTCCAGGATGGGTATCACTTGGATGAGATTCCAGATGATGAGGACCTGGACCTCATTCCCCCCAAGCCTATAGCCTCTTCAACATGCTCCTGCTGCTGGTGCTGTCTTGGGGACTCTTTTTCCTGTTCCCTCCAATAGACATAAGTCCCTATGATGGGCCCTACTTCCATGCCTGCAGACCCCTTTTGACTCTTCATAGGTTACAGAGTATAGTGGGAACTGCCATCAGCTCCAGAATCACTTGAGGTACTGACCTTCTGGCAATTCAGTGACCTGCAGTTACCCCTTCCTTACCTGGTGCTTCTCAGGCCAGAGGCCTGCATCTGGGCCATAGGGTGATAAACATGGAATTCTGCAGTTGGAGTAGAGTTTGGTGAAACCACTTTAATAAGGGCAGGAATAGAGGAATTCTGGCCCTTACAGTGAGGAATGACGCTGGCTAAGAAAAACACTTGAAGACATTTTGACTGGTATTTGGTATGCTCTTTGGAGGGAAAAAGAGCTTTTGTTCCCAGGTTGTGCTGGATGGTGTGTGGTCAGATTCCTCTGAGCATACATAGCATGGGCCTCACAGTGGATAGGATTTTTTTTTATAGTAAACCTCTGGATACAACACAGCCACTCAGTTCCTAGTGTGAACACAGCAAAGATGGCATAATCCCCCCGCCCCCCAACATACACACACGATCCCACCAGACAGCATCTCTTGCTAGACCACCCTTCTCTCTAGAATTTAGTTTTAGTGGTTCTTGTTTGTTTTGCCTTACCAGTGATGAAGACTGAAAGGGAGTGGACAAGGTTCCCAGTTCCAAGGGGCATAGTAGTCAGGATTGGAGTGTAGGTTCCACGTGGGAAAGTGCCTGGTCTCTTGACTTATTTGATATTCTGTGACCACTAGGAGTATATGAGGGATGAGGTGGACTCTTCTTGCTGTACTACCTGAGGTGATTGAAAGACTGAGAATGTCAGATAAAAAGGCCATGTTTGTCAGATGACTATTCTCACGAGGATAATCTGAATAGCTTGATTGGCGTCTATCTTGGTTCTTTTCTCAAATCTTAGACAGCTCAGAGGAATATAGTATCCAGGGGGCTGTGGCTAACTTATTCTACAATCTAGCAGTGTCACAGCAAGAGGGAAGTGGGACAGGGACCAGAGGCACCTCATGTTGGGGCCTGGGATTGAGGAGGCACATAGTTACTCCATTCTGGAATGGGGCTCTGCAACTCTCCCACATTCGGAGCACTTTGTGCAAATGCTTGCAGGGATTGAGGACATCTCCATTCTGAACCTCTTGCCCAGCCACAGATATATCCTGGCCTTTCTGGTTTCTGCAGAGGTAGAGAAATGTATGCAAAGGGCTCAGATGTAGGACAGGGTAAAGGAATACAGTGGTAATGGGAAACCCAGTGCAGCCCACAAAGTGGCTATGGCAGTGAAGTGTGGGACAGTTTTCTTTGGGAAAGGTGGTTAGGACAGTGGTCAGAGTAGCTTAAGCATTTGGCAGCTGCTGGGGCTGAGGGTGGCAACAGTATCCTCTAGGTGATTGTTGCTATTAACACTAGCATATTTGGCTGCAGCTGTCTGTGAAGAGTGTTCCAGAGCTGGTTGAGCCTGAATGGTAGGCATCTTTTTGGGAAAAGTTGCAGGAACTTGAAATGAGGGACAGTGTGCAGTGAGGCAGGATATAAATGGCCAGTTGTTTGGGACCAGAAGCTAAAATAACATCCAAAGGCACTAAAGTGCCCAGAGCCAAACTGCCTTAATTGAGAGTGCTGGGTGTTCTGTAGGTGACAGTGCCCTTGGGACAGGGGTGTATTTAGGCTTACCTCACAGATGGGAGTGGTAATGTATGGTGTTTCCAGAGTAGTCTACAGAACTCGGTTTAGACTGCTACAGCTCTGTAAGTTTATAATAAGCATGCTAGTTGAGCTGTCTCTTGCAATAGGATTGTTTTTTTTTCTCTAAAACTTATTTAAATCCTCACTCAAGGATGCAGTGGGATTTTAAAGAAAGGCCCAGGCCGTCCGGCCAGTGTGGCTCAGTGGTTAAGTGTCAATCCATGCACCAAGAGGGTGGCGGTTCGATTCCTGGTCAGGGCCTAGGTTGTGGGCCCGATCCCCCGTAGGGTGGCATGCAGGAGGCAGCCAATGGATGTTCTCTCTCATCAATGTTTCTCTCTCTCCCTCTCACTTCCTCTCTCTAAAATCAATAAAGGAAAAATATTTTTTAAAAAGGCCCAGGCCACAGTCATTGCCCCTATTGAATTCTGAAACAAATAGACTAATAGCCCAACTGCGATCATTCCTCCTAGGACCTCCTCTCCTTTCTGCTCTTCCTAGTGGCTTCATTTTCAGACCTGCTTCACTGAAGGCCATGGATGGAATCGGCCTTTGCACATTACTTTTCTTTAGACCCTTTCTTCCCAGGTCATCATTTAAGCCGAGGAAATTTGGAGTCAAAAAATAAAACCAGCCCTAGCCGGTTTGGCTCCGCGGTTGGAGTGTCAGCCTGTGGTCCAGAGTCCGGGGTTTGGTTCCCACTAGGGGCACATACAAAAAAAATAAAACCAGAACAGGTTGGCTAGAACCTTTTTGAAGGTAGTTTCCTAGAACTCAGTTGAACAGGGCGTCTAGTGGGGGCAGCAACCCAGAAAGACTCTTTTGTGAGAGTCTAAACCGTTACCCACAGGAAATGTGTCTGCTTAGTCTAGGGTAATAAGAACTAAGACTTGGTCAGAATCTTCAGTAGCAAAACAGCTATGCAGCTTCCTGCAGAAGTAGAGGTGTCCCACCTCTCAGAGGGTAGGCCCTCCTAGGTACTTACTGCCCATTTATAAAAAGTACCTAGGATGCTTTTCACAAGACTAGGTGGATTGTCTTGTCCCTGTATCTACAATGACTGGCTGTGCTTCAGAGAAGTGGCTGATAAAACTTTTCTCTGGGAAGAGCCAATCACTACTTTGGCTTTGCAGGCCATGTAGTCTGACATTTACTCAACTTCATAACCTGAGAGCAGGCTAGGCAGGATGTAAATGAGTGGGTGTGCCCAAACCCAGCTGCTGGACTTAGCATGCTGACCCCAGCCCAAAGGCCAGCTCAAATCCTGGAGGAGAATCTTGCTTTAGACCCACTTCTACTGTCTGCAGAGCCAGAAGGCTCTGCATCTGAGGCTGAAGCTGGCTGCTTCTCCCATGCCTTCCTATAAAAGGGCTCTCAAGTCCAGCCTACCCACTTCAGGGATTAGACTGCCAAAGGTTTATTGCCCTTCATCCCACAGCCTCAACACAAGTGATTTTTTTTTAAAATATATTTTGATTTTTTAGAGAGAAAGGAGAGAGAGAAAAACATCGATTGGCTGCCTCCTGCACACTCCCTACTGGGGATTGAACCCACAACCTGGGCCTGTGCTCTCACTGGGAATTGAACCAGGGCCTCTTAGTCCATGGGACAACACTCAATCCATTGAGCCACACCAACCAGGCAACACAAGTGATCTTTAATTGCTTTGACAAAGCAAGAGGGTGACAAGGAGCAACACTGATCCATAGGCCCTACCCTTTCACTCCTCTGCTGCTAAGGAAACAGGCAGTCCCAGAGCCAGAACTCTGTTCTTAAAAAGTAGTTACCTACTCTTTTGCTGTAACTAATGCTGAGTTAATCAGTTCCACCAGCCTGTAGCTGAGATAGCTGCTCTCTCCTGCACTGAGTCTCAGGTGGGAATACAAGTGGAGTGTTGGCCCTTAGTCCTCACATGGGCCCTCCTCCCAGGAAGATTTTTCAGCTTAGGCCTGATCAAGAGTCACTACCTTTGCCCTGGCTGGTTTGGCTCAGCGGTTATAGCATTGGCCTGTGGTCGAGAGAGACCTGGGTTCTGTTCCTGTTAAGGGCACATACCTCAGTTGCAGTTTGTCCCCAGCCCTGGTAGGGTCGTGCAGGTTGCAACCACTCGATGTGTCCCTTTCACTTTCACGTCGATGTTTCTCTCTCTCTCTCTCTCTCTCTCCCTCCCTCCCTCCCTCCCATTCTATCTGAACAAAAAATGTCCTCGAGTGAGGATTAAAAAAAAAAAAAAAGTTCTACACCAGCTCTTCTAGGAGTACCCAGAGCAGGAATTGGGCCTGAGGTGGTAAGGCTGGCCACGATTTAGGATGACTGGGCAGGAGAACCGGGATGGCTATGGCCTCTACAGCAGACAGCAGGCACGGAATATCAGCAGGTCCTCAGGCACAGTAAGCTTCAGTAAGACACACTCATTGGCCCCAATGAAGAGCACCCCACCACTCTGCAGAGGAATCACTGCCTGGGCTGTGGGAGTGCTGGCTGTTACTGTGCCGTGCACCATCAGGAGGATGCTGGCGGAGTCCACTGCCAAGACCTTATACTCAGTGACTGAGCCAGGGACCTGGACAGAAAGAAACCAAAGAATGGTATAGGTCAGACTGCTCCTACAGCTCATAGGCACAGGAAAACCTCCATGGTGGTGAGAGGGAGAGCTCTGCCACCTTCTGTCCCACTGCTCAGGCTCTTGTCAGCTTGGAGATCCACATCTGGTTGCCGGTGCAAATGAGTGAGCAGGCCCTGTGGGCATCTCTCACCAAATGAACTTCTCATGAAAGGAAACCCAGCCCCAAGTGTAGTCTGCAGTGTGACCCTTGCCAGGGTTTTCATGCCCCACAAAAGACACCCACCATGGCCCCCTACTCACCTCCATCTTCATAACAGTGAAATCTGGAACAGGCGGGTCATAGAGAGTAAGGTAGGGGTCTTCCTGACTCCACTTTGGAGGAAAGAGCCTGTCCTTGCTTGGGCTGGGGGTATAGCTGAGCATTTCACACAGAGTTGGCACATCAATGAACTTGGGTGTCAGGCCAGCACGTACTGTGTTGTCTGAACATGCCATGCACTCCACGCAGTCTGGGGACAGAGAACTGTCATGTACTAAGCTGAAGGATGCCTTTGAGTTTGACTCTCTAAGGCTGGTCCTTTAACTTGAGTGCCACAGACCCTCTGTAATTAGGTAAAAAATGTGTGAACTGAATTATCTGTGGGAATGAGCTAAATGTTATACACCAAAAACAGGTGACAGGTCACCCACTGTCATTAGGGGTAGTCATGTTCACCCTTGAGGGAGCCCCAACCCTCCTTAGACTAGTTCTCCCACAAAATCCTGTCCATGAGTGGCTATATGGCCAACAGTCAAATGCAGCACCCTTCTTTGGCAACATGTATTTTGATATAAAATCTGTGTTGATGGGACATGAAGGCAGTGTAATGCAGGGAAAGAACAGACTTGATCCATTAATAGCCTAGGTTCAAATTGTGGTTCCCACACATTGATAGGGTTTAACAGGAGAGTATCATGACGGCATGGAGTTGGTGTGACGATTCAAGCAGTGTCTGACACCAACCTGGCATCATCCCTACTGTCCTCTCTGCTGACCCCAGGAATCCTGGAACCCTGGGGGAAACAAGGCCCAAGGGGGACATCAGTGGGACTCACTGATGAAATGTGGCTCACCTCCTTTCAGGTAGGCATGGGGCACATTGGCCTCCAGAAACATGGCTTCCCCTGGCTTCAGGGTAAGCAGGTTCAGGAAGTAGATGGCAAAGCATCCAATATCACCTGGATACTGCTGGTGCAGCTGCAGCAAGAGCTCCCCACAGATGTCTTCCACATTATTTCCAGCAGCCACTGAGGGTCACAGAGCATTCCAAGGTCACTTAGAGACTCTCAGTGGTAGTCACAGCCCCACCTTATCCAGGGAGTCCTTGGGAAGTGCCTACCCACAAGAATCTAGAAACTGGTGGGCATGTTCTCCCAGCCACATGCCCAACCTCTTGGAGACCAGCCTTCCTTGACATTCCAGCCTGCACAGATGCCATTTTTCCTGTCTATATGCCCAGCACTACACTAGGCATTAAGAGGTACAGCAGAGGTAGAGCATCGGACCACAGACCAATAAAAGAGGTAGAGTATGCCCTGGCTGGTGTGGTTCAGCTGATTGAGCGTCCTTCCATGCACCAAGAGGTCATGAGTTCAATTCCTGGCCAGGGCATATGCCCAGGTTGTAGGCCAATCCCCAGTAGGGGGTATGTAGGAGGCAGCTGATCTCTCTCTCTCAAAAAAAAAATAATTTTTTTTTTTAAGAGCTCAAGTGTTTTTTTTAATCCTCACCCAAGGACATTTTTTTCTCCCATTTTCTGTTCAGACAGAGTGGGAGGGAGAGAGAAACATCGATGTAAAAGGGACACATCGAGTGGCTGCCACCCACACGACCAACCAGGGCCAGGGACAAACTGCAACCGAGGTACGTGCCCTTAGTTGGAACCGAAACCGGGTCTCTCGGGACCGCAGGCCAACACTCTAACCGCTGAGCCAAACCGGCCAGGGCTCGAGTGTGTTTTTTTAGGACAGTGTTTCTCACCCTCAGCACTACTGACATTTTGGGCCTCATAATTCTTTGTTGTGGAGGCTGTCCTGTGCCTTGTAGGATGTTTAGCAGCAGCTCTGGGCTCCCATAAGATACCACTAGCACTCCAACTCAGGTTGTTGTTTCACATAAGTGTGTGTGTTAATCCTTACCTGAGGACATTTCTTCTTTTGATTTTTATAGTAGAAAGGAGAGAGAAAGAAACATCAGCATGAGAGACAGACATCAATTGGTTGTCTCCTGCACACACCCCAACCAGGGTCAGGTATCAAACCTGCAACTCAGGTACATGCCCCTGTCCGGAAATCAAACCTGAAACCCTTCAGTGTGGGGGCCAATGCTCTAACCATTGAACCACACTGGCCAGGGCCCAACTCAGGATTTGACCAAAAATGTCTCCAGATAACTGCCAATGTTCCCTTGTTAAGAACCACTGTTCTAGGAATTCAAAATCTAGTTAAGAGATAATCCAAGAATTCCATGTATCCCAGCCCAGGCCTTTCCCTTTTTTAGCACTGCAAGTATTACAACTCAGAAAACTCAGTCCCAGGCAAACCGAAGTTGGTCACCCAGATAGCATGAGGCAGAATGCACCAAGGGCCAAAATGTGAGCTCAGCTCGGGCTAGAATGGTGAGGGAAGGCTTTTGGAATGAGCAGGGAGTGGGAAAGGGGGGAGCTGAAATGTCTTAAATGTATTGTAGGGGACTGTATTTGTAAGTAAAAGCAGGGTGTGTCAGTACCACAATGAAGAAACCAGCTGGTCTAGATTGGAGGGCTCTGAGTTCATACAGACAGCTGAATGTCTACTCTGCTAAGCACTAGGAACACGCAAAGGTCAAGGAGACAGGTCCACGGCCTGTGTATGCACATGATATAGACTCACAGGTGCTAAGGGCTGTATCTGACCCATGAACAGGGTGCTATCGGATCTCTAGGCAGGAGGAATCAGTTCTGCTGTGAGTGCAAGAATCCCTAAAGGGACAGGCATGCAAGCAGAGAAAACACCAAAACACAAAACAATTAGTAGGCTTGGGTAAAATAGTTACTTGTGGCTCAAAGTTAGCAGAGTAAATGTGTAGAGACAGAATCAGAAGAGTTCTGGGGTCACTTGGAGGAGGAGTCGGGACTTCATCATGTGTGCCACATAACCGAGAACCCATTCTGCTTTGTTTTTCACTATACTGATTTTCCAACCCAAAGGTGATCACACTCACCACAGTCATTTCCTGAACTATCTTTAGTTATTTAGCACAAGGTTGGGCACAGGGCAGGTATTTAAGATCTACTAATTGAGAGCTCTGAACATCAGGCCTATGGAGGAGAAGGAGGATCCCATTCCCTCTTGCTATCTAGCCCCAAAATACAAATCCATCCATGGGGGGCAGCTGTAGGATTGGAGAAATCTCAGAATGCCTGGGTGAAAGACATCCTAATTGTCTTCCAGGCCAATCTGTCTCCAGCCATCTAGAGAAGATGACCAGTTAGGAAGCTTCATTCAACCTAGGGCTCTGCTCCACAAAGACCAAAAAATTCTAAGTCACCAACAGCCATCTAAGTTGGGCCGGTTTTAGTGTTTCACTTGAGCGAAGGGGTTAAGAACCATGTCCCCACAGCCTAGTGTCTGTGCCAGAGACTCAGGACAGAATATTGTCCCCAGGCCTACAATGACACCCACCTTGCTGGGAGATCCGCTTAACCAACAAGTTGAGTTGCTCCACCACCACCTTCTTCTCACTCCTCAGCAAGTGGGAGAAACAGCTCTGCAGAGCAGAAGCCATGGCCTGGGAGTCGTGGCTTAGGCTCTGCTTCAGCTGTGTTGTTGCATTATCTCCAATCAGGAACTGGAACTCAGGCACCTCTGCAGGAAGGCCAGGACCCTTATCAGGAATAGCAAGATGGAACCCGCAGAAATAGGAAGCTGCAGGAGGCCTACCCATCCCATCCCTAACCAAAGAATCAGGTGATGCTAAGCAAACTTTGCAGTGAAAACTAACTGCTCACCACCAGCCCTTAGCAACCACACCTAAACCTGGTCTCCTGGGATTATCTCAGTGGCTTCAAGAATTCATGAGGACAACCAGCCCTTCAGTTCCTGTGACCTTCAACATCTGTTCTTAGCCACTGTTCCAGCTCTACCCAGGGATGTCCATCTATTCTAGGCCCAATATGCATGCTGCCAACATTTTGCTCAACCTTACTTGTCAGAAAGGTCAAAATTTCCTCAACTGGCCGGAAGCCACATAAGCCTTGAAAGGTGGTGAGGGCAATGGCCAATTCTGGCTTATGGTTGGCATCGGGGTAGTGCTGTGGAGCCTGCAGGTGCAGCTTCTCTGCCAGCTCCTGTGGAATGGCCAGGGGAAGAGGAGAATGGTCAAGGTGCAGCTATCACCTAGCAGGACACCAGTGCCACCCAGGCCTTGCTCCCTCCCCTCCCCAGTGGCTAGACAGCAGTAGCTTCCTATTTCTAGCAACAAGCCCAGTCAAGGCATAATGCAGACATTCCAGGTCCAGCCAACCCAGGGCATGAATATGACCCAAATCTGGGGAGAGCTGGGGCAAACTTTAAGAGGCTTGGACTGCAAATCAGGAAACCCAAACACCAAGCCATGCTTGGACACTAACAAGCTGTGTGACTTTGGGTAAATCCCTCACTTCTCTGGGTCTTTCTTTGCCTGTGTAGAAATGAGAAGTTTGGACAAATGCTTATAATGTAACTCATGAGCTTATACAGAAAGAATCTCTGGGTGAGGGTGGAGCTGAGACAACAGCTAGGGTACATGCCCTGCCCTGAAGGTAAACTCTCTAAATGAACCAAGTGGGAAAATGTCAGATATGAATAGTCCTGGGCTGGGTGAAGGGAGAACAGGGAGAAACTCCCCTGGCACAGGCTGGTCAGCTGTTTACTTAGACTTAGCTGCCAGGCCTGGATTCAGCTTTCAGCTGAAGCCTGGCATGGGTGGAATAAAAGCAGCAGTTAAAGTTGTAAGAGGGTGTTAAAAATAAGCTCTTCTCTACCTTGACTGTACCCCACTCTGATCCCGTACCTTGTTAGGGTGTGCCTGGATAGAGAGGGCCGTTTCAACTGAGAGTACTTTGAAGAGGAAGGGCAGCTTGCCATTAAAGGTGTCCTTGACTTTTGAGCCCAAGCAGTTCTGGTTCTCAGCAATCCACTCGCCTAAGGTCTTCTGCGGGATGCGATTGTCAAGAATCTTGGCATCTCCCCGGGGGTGGGTCCCCATCCACAGCTGGAAAAACAGGAAATTTGGGAGGAAAGGGGGAAGAACCTACCACCACCAGTTTGCCTGCCCCAATCCCAGTTACCCTGTGTCCCCCATAGGGCAGCTGAGTCCTGAGACAGGCCTCCCAGGACTGGGTATAAATAAATGTTCATGCCATCACAGACCTAAAGGGAGGCATCAGACCCCAGAATATCAGGAGTCAGGAGATCCAGGCTCTAGTTCAGGCTCTGCCTCTAACCAACTGTGGAGGTTTAAACTAGTTATTTCCTGTTTTCTGGGTCTCAGTTTCCTCATATGTCCAACAAAGAAAACGACACCTGCAGTGTCAAGGTCACTGAAAAACTCTGACTCAAATAGCTCTGTGAGGTGTCTGTATTCATTTACACCAGTCTCAGACTAGAGACTAAAGTTTCCTTATGCTTTGGCTTTTTCTCTACTAAACGGGCAGCAGAAATATGTAGTATTTTAGGTTTAAAAATTTAAAGTTGGTGCCCTCGCTGGGTAGCTCAGTTGATTAGAGCACTGGCCTGATACATTAAGGTTGCAGGTTCAGTCCCAGTCAGGACGCATACAAGAAGCAACCAATGAATGCATAAATAAGTGTAACAACAGACTGATATTTCTCTCCCTCAAATCAATACAATTTTTTCTTAATGTAAAAGTAAAAATTTAATTGTCGAAGAACACTGAATTAAAATGCAGTAAGTGCTAAGAGTTCTTTGAGGAAGGAAGTACTGGAAATCCCAGCCTATTATAAGAAAACCCTTCTTCTTTTGGTGCCACCATCTGGGTTCATCAACCTGCACATATCTGAAGAGCCTAGAGTGCCTCCTCCTTTACTGCTTCCCCCTCCCAGGTGATCCGTCTGACATGCCTCAGCCCTTAGAGTGGAAGAGTCCCTTGGTCTCACCTGCTGGTAAAGTGGTCTGAAATACAGTTTGGCGCTCACCTCTGCATATGGCTTGTCCTCTGAGATCCGGGCCAGTGGGTCACTGCTGGCCAGTAGCCGGGCCACTTCACTGTTGGAACCCATCTTCCCCCAGGCATACTGTTGCACCACACAGGAAAGTGGGAATACTTGGGGAACAGACAGAGGGTCAACATCCACTCCACCCCTGAGGCCTGACTCTATTGTCCCGGGGAAACTCGAGCTGAGGGTTTTGTCTGAGGGACAAAGTCAAAATAAGGGGTTTGTTGGTTTAGTTGAGACCCTTCTCTGCATGCCTCAATGTTCCCATCTATAAAACAGCCAGTGAGGATCTTGTGCTGACAGCTGCGCTGAGGTGAGCGGGAGGAACATTTCACACCGCAACGCCGTCTCCAGGCGACCCTCAAGACCTTCCTCGAGGGCTGCAGTAACGACTCAGTCCCCATCGCAGGTGTCCCTCCCCCGCCCCTCGTCCATCCATATTTTTGCGAAGTCCCATGGGTGGGTTCGACCTGGCATATTAAGGCGGGAAGGGTCCCCAGAAGATGACCCATACCCTCGCTCGCCTGCACCCCGGCGCGAAGCCCACCTCGCTGAGCGGCCATCCTTGCAGCACCAGACCTGGCTTCTTCAACGTATGCCCTTCCCAGCAGCACCTGCGGCCTCTCTGCTCCCAGAGCCTCTCGGGAAACGTAGTTCCTCAAGCGCCAGCGCCTCGGAGGCCTCGGAGCCCCGTGCGGCCATTTCCCCCTCCCACCTTCCAGCAAGGAGAAGAAGCCCCCACTAGCTCAGAGGCTTCCAGCCCGCAATCCTTCGATCTCAGTATTCATTCGTTCCTGCACCGGAGAACAAGATACGGATCCCTTTGCCCTTGTAGAGCTTACATTCTTGTGAAGGGAAAACAAGCAAACAAGTTCAATAAATAATAAACAAATCGTATAATATGTTGAAAAGTACTACAAAAAGGGGGTGGGTGGCAGTTTGCAGAATTTAAAATGTTGTCTTGGTAAGCTTCATTGAGAAGCTGACATTTAAGCACAGACTTGGAGGTGAGGAGGAGTGTGTTCTGGGCAAAGAAATAGCTAGAGGGAAAGCCCTAAGACAGGGACGTGAGAATGTGCCTGTGGTGTTCTGAAGTAAATAGCAAAGAAGCCAGTGTGACTGGAACCGAGTGAGCAGGACAGAGGTGGTCACAGAGGAAAGGCAGTGAGCAGAACTTTGGAGGTCATTGTGAAGACTTCATATTTTACTCTGAGTATTGCAGTCATTAGTGGATTTGTTATTATTATTTTTTTTTATCCTCACCCGAGGCCATTCTCTGATATTTTGTTCAGATAGAGTAGGAGGGAGACGGAGAGAGAAACATCGAAGTGAAAGGGACACATCGATTGGTCACCACCCGCACGACCCAACCAGGGCTGGGGACAAACTGCAACCGAGGTACGTGCCCTTAGCGGGAACCAAACCTGGGTCTCTCAGGACTGCAGGCCGACGCTCTAACCGCTGAACCAAACAGGCCAGGGCTCATTAGTGGATTTGAACAAAGAATTGCTGTAGTCCAAGCAGGGACTCACTGATGCTTGATCATGATGGCAGTTGTCACATGCTAGGCCCTTAACACCTGTCTGAGCTTCACTTTCTTCCTCTAGAAAGTGGGATAATAATGCTGGCCTGACAGGCTTGTTGGAGGGTCAGATGGAATGATGTGGGATGCAGGAAGGCAGTCAGTGCTAAGAACTCCTCTCATCCTTCCTGCCTTAAGTGCCTCAGGATTCAGAACCCCAGCCCCTCCTCCAGGCTGAACTGCTCACAAGTCAGAACACACAGAAGACAAGGAGAGTCACCAAGAGTTCTGCATGGCAAATGCTGGGGCTGGGCCTTGAATGTGGAATAACCTTGCTATATCCTGTGGAGAAAGGCTTTGACATCTGGACCTCCTCAGCCAGCTGGCGGGGCCCGAGAATACAGCAGCCAAAGTTCCAAGGAACCTCCAGTAAGGGGCTACAGTCCTAACTCTGCCTCCCCTTCCCCTTCCCCCAAACTGATTCCCACAGCCTCTACTACACACTCCCAGGAAAAGAAGGGGTACTGTTTTCTCTGTTATATTATATCTAGCTGTAAACATCAACTTCCCTTGGTGTCACCTGGCTCAGATAATCAGTCTGCATTTCCAAAGGAGTTTCATCATACACTAAGGAATAATAAAATGGAAACCACAAGAATCATACAAACAACACATCTCACATACTTACCTTTAAATATCTCTCCTTTCCCTCATCCCCACTCCCCCAGCCATATGAATCTTCTGGGAAAAGAATGAGGGATTAGTTTAGGTACAGCGGGTTCTTAGAGCACCTCCCATTACAAGCACCACTGAAGCCAGTTAGAGTCATTTCCTCATAGTATCTCTATTGGGAGAAAAGAATTTAGAATGTTGGGGCAGAGCCTCCACCCCATGCCACCCTCCCTACACAAAGAAAAGTATATCTGTAAGGGAAACTAGGGTGTTTAGAGAGCCTAGAAGTTTTCACTCTTACCTCTTGCTTGTCTATCTGTAGCAGAACTGATTAGACTTTATTATCCAGGGATCTGCTTTCCTGTCTCTCTCTTCTCTACTAGATCATGTGTCTAATTCAGTGTCACATTTCTGCCAGTGCCAAGGGCTCAAGCTGCAATAACAGCATACATTTATTGTTTTGTGCTAAATCCTGTGCTAAGCCCCTTTCAAGAATTTTCTCACTTCATTCTCCAGGCAACCCTATGGGATAGGTACTGTCATGAGCCCCTTTTTAGAGATAAGAAAAATGGGTCCTGGAGAGATGAACTTGTTCAATAGCACAGAATTCCTTCTGGTCTACTATACCTCCTTCCTTGTTGAATATGTGAATGAATAAATAAATGCATGATGACTCTTTCACAGGGAAGTGGACCGATCCCAGGAATCTTCAGAGACAGATGAGTGGGCCAGCTCTACACTGGCGATATCAAGTTCAATTCTTTCTTCACCAGTCCACCATTATACTAGCTTGGAAAGATAAGGAGGAGGCAGGACAGCCTCATGTTGTACAGATTGTTCTCTTAGGCTGCAGACAGCAAAGATCTCTGTATGCTGCCTGTGATGTTATGATATAATAACCAGCTCCTGGCCAGAATTTCTAAAATCTTTGTAATTTCCTAAGCAATAAATGGTTTCTGAGGCAGAGCCCCTAAATCCATTGGAATTTCCTGGATGATAGGAGCACTTTCTGTCCTAATGAGGCAACTCTTGGTGGCTCCTGGACAGCCTCAGGATGTGACTGGTCACCAGAAAGAACAAGCCTTGATTTGAAGCTTGGAACTTTCTACCCCACCTTCCATCTTCCAGGGAGGGGTGAGGGGAGAGACTGAGTTAACTATCAATCATGATCATGCCTATGTAATGAAGTCTCTCTCTGGAAAGTTTCCAGGTTGGTAAATACATCCACATGCCAGAAGGGTGGTGCATCCCAACTCCATGGGTACAGAAGTTCCTGAACTCAGGACCCAGACCTCCCACTATGTATCTCTTCAACTAGCTGTTCATCTGTATCATGTCCATTATTATATAAAAAAAAAACTAGTAAACATGTTTCCCTGAGTTCTGGAAGCCATTCTAGCAAATTATTGAACCTGATAAAGAAGTCGTAGGAACCGTGATTTATATAAGTACAGGTGACGATCTGAGATTTGCAATTGCCATCTGAAGTGAGGGAAGTCTTATGGGACTGAGCACCTAACTTGTGGAATCTGATGCTAACTGCAGGTAGTGTCAGAAGTGAATGTGGCCCTGGCCGGTTTGGCTCAGCGGTTACAGTGATGGCCCGTGGACCAGAGAGGCCCGGGTTCAGTTCCCCCCACGAGCATGTATCTCAGTTGCAGTTTGTCCCTGCCCCAGTTGGGGTCGTGTGGGTGGCAACCAGTCCATGTGTCTCTCTTACGTGGATGTTTCTCTCTGTCTTCCTCCCTCTTTCCTTCCCGCTCTATCTGAGGATAAATGCAAAAATGTCCTCAGGTGAGGATAAAAAAAAGAAGTGAATGTGTCAGAAAATTGGTTAGTGTGGCAATAACAAAGCAAAATCTGTATCTTGTCACATAAGTGTTCTGTATGAGCAGTAAAAGAGAAACACAAGTCTTTCCTTGGAGGGGTGGCTTGGGGGATTAGGGGAAGGTGGTTTCTAAGGGGACACAAACATGGAGGCCTCTCCCTCCTCCCACTTGAGGATATATACTGGAGAAAAGTTGAGCTGGTCCCTAAAGGATAGTTGGGATTTAGACAGGGGAGAGGAAGGTAAGAGAAATGAAGAAAACAGTAAATATTTACTAAATACCTATCATGTGCTGGTACTATGTTAGTGCCAGAAATACAACTGGGAGCAAAACAGACCCTACTCCTGCCCTTGTGGAGCTTACAGTCTAGTGAGAGAGAGAGGTATAAGTAAATAACCACTTATATACATATGTACTTACAGTCTGCAATAGGTATTATGAAGAAAAAGTATAGGCTAATAATGAGTTTATGTGTGGGGTAGGAAAGAAGCCACTCCTAAAGTGTATCTGAGATTAAATCTGAAGGATACTGGAGTTAACTAGGTGATGATGAGGGCATGAGCTAAGAGTGTACCAGGAAGAAGATACATCAGGAGCAGAGTCCCTGAGGCCAGAGGGAACAAGGGAAGTCTGAGGAACTAAAAAGCCACTTGGAGGGTTGGAATGCATGGGGGTGGGCAAAAGAAGGTGTGAGAAGGACAGATAGATGCAGGGCCAAGAGGCCAAATTAAGAATTTGGGACTTTATGGAAAATAATTGAAGGATTTTTAAACATAAAGTTCCATAATAAGTTTGTCCCCTTTAAACAGATCTCTGATTACAACATGAACAAAATACCAATTTGCAGCCCTGTACTAGTCCAGGGTAAGGCATGGCATTGGCTGGATTCGGTGGTAGTAGAGATGAACAAAGCCAGAGAGATGAATAAATAAGGTAGTTCGTAGGGAGTGCAGCCACCTCCCCCATGGCTGATGGCTGCATTTCTAAATTCCTTCATTTACTTAACAAATTCTTGACTCTCAGGTTCAAATCTCAGCTTAGGCCCTAAACCTGTTTGGGCATCAGGAGACAAGGTCTAAAAGAAGCAGAGTTCAGCTAGTGTGGGGTTCAGCTGCACAATTGGTTCTTCAGAAGAGAACCCCTCTGCTCGGCCCCTGTCACCAGAACACTCCGCTTAGAAGTAGGCTCACACTCCTGTCCCCTGCCTGGACCAAAGCTGCTTCCCAAACTTGCCCTCCAGGGAAGTGAAGGGGTTAAGTGTCTGGCTCCCTTTTAGGTAGTTTCCTACACAAATCTAGATGCTGTCAGACCAAGAGGCAGCACTGATCCGCGACCAGTCCCGCAGGTAGAGCAACGAGGACTCTAGAGGGGGAGTGAGGATGAGGAGGGACAAGAGACACGAAATGGAGACAAGACAGGGCTCTGATCAAGTCTCGTTTATTCTGGGGAGATCCACAGTATCAACAAGCGATAAGTTTGTGGTAACCACCCCGAAGCAATTTCAGGTAAATATCATGTGTGGAACAAAAGATAAACAGAGCATAACTGGCTGAGTGAATGGTTACTTAAAGGAATGCAGAAACATTGTATGCAGAGATGCAGAGATATCCTGCCTTGGGGCAGGAGATGGCAGAGCAGATTTTAACAAAATAGATGCCATGCAAACAGTCTCCCACAGACCGGGTCACTGGCTCTCTAGTTCCAGGACGCCGCCGTCTGGGAAGCACAGAGCCAGAAAAAAGCGAGAGAACACGAGTATCAACCGCTGAGTGCTGAGCAAGAGGGCGGAGTGGACCTCTGTTACGTGAAGGATCACGCCCCTTGGGGAGGGCGCTGCGCCTGCGCTAGAACGGCCGTCTCGCTCCCGGAAGTGGAGGGTTTGCCTGGAAAGAGCCGCTGGGTCTCGGTGCCCGGAGGCAGAAACGTTCGCGGAGCTCGCCCGTCGCTCCCGACTGCCATGTCGGCCTTCGACACCAACCCCTTCGCGGACCCAATGGATGTAAACCCCTTCCAGGTAGAGCTTCCAACACACAGTTCTCTCTAGTTCCAAAGGCTGCCGCCCGGGCCTTTTCCGTCAGAGCCGGAGACGAGGCGTAGGAGGGACGGGCTGACTGCCCAATGGGAGAGCGGGCTCTGAAGGCTAGCCTATCGTAGCGTTTTGGGGGCGGGACTAGCAGCAGGTGGCCCGGCCGAGGGGCTAGGCGCACGACGAGGTGGGAACCTCTACCTGCCCAGACGAAACACCTCTGGCTGGGTACTGCTGGGGAAGAGGCCTGAAGCTGACTGCAGTTACTGTTAGCCTCAGAGAGAGTAATGACTTCACCTGAGGGGATGTGGCTGCCACAGTCCTGCAGTCTGAATTTGAGTCACGTTAGGGGAGGGGTGACAGCAGCTTAATGAGGATGGTGGAAACCTTAGTGGGATGGAGAAATGGAAATCCCAAGACAACTCCGTCCCCCTTCCCTCAACAGTCAATCTAGCGTATAAGATATAAGGGCCCCTGAGATTTGTCAGGAAAGGAAGGCTGGGGAGAGGATGAGGAACTGAAATGTGGTCTCGATACGAATTCCACACTTTGGCCATGTATCTACTTTGAACTGGATTGGCTAGATAGGAGAGATCAAGTTAGGGAGAGAGGGCTCTGAGGGTCTTCAAGCACAAGGAAGGTTGGTCAGATGGACCTGTGTGTGCTGGTAGGGTAGTTGAGATGCACTGACCTATGAGCTGGCCTTACATTTTAAACAAATGATGGAGGAAGAAACAGTCTTCTACTTAAAGCCAAAACATTTTTGCCTTTGAGCTAAGGGCACAGGGTCATTCTTTTTCCATGATGAATGGCTGGGACTGCTGTTAGTGCCCAAATTCCTGTGCCTCTTTTTTTTTTTTTTTATCCTCACCCGAGGACATTTTTCCATTTTTTGTTCAGGTAGAGTGGGAGGGAGAGAGAGGAACAGAGAGAAAGAGAGAAACATCGATGTGAAAGGAACACATCGAGTGGCTGCCTCCCGCACAACCGACCAGGGCCGGGGACAAACTGCAACCGAGGCACGCGCCCCTAGCGGGAACCGGACCCAGGTCTCTCAGGACCGCAGGCCGACGCTCTAACCGCTGAGCTAAACCGGCCAGGGCTCCTGTGCCTCTTGTTTCATGTCTGCTTAAAACCAATTCTAGTCCGGCCAGTGTGGCTCAGTGTTTGAGCGTCCACCCATGCATGCACCAAGAGGTCGCCGGTTTGATTCCCAGTCAGGGCACATACCCAGGTTGTGGGCCCGATCCCCAGTGGGGGGCATGCAGGAGGTGGCCAGTCAATATTCTCTCACATTGATATTTCAATCTCTTTCACTCTCACTTCCTCTCTCTGTAAAATCAATAAAAGAAAAACAAAAAAAACAATTCTAGGAAATTTTGCTTGTGCTGACTGGCGACTTAATGAGCCCCGAGGTTTCTGCTCTGTAAGGATGTCACCAGGCACATTAACTCATCCTACTTTGACTTTGGTCATTGGCAGCTTCAAAGTTTCCTGCAGGTGGAGGGGAAGTCCTTGGAGGGGTCCTTCCTGCAACTAACAGCATGAGTTTTCCCACCTTAAACCTTCTCAAGGATCAAAGCCAAGACCAAAGAGACTATAACAAAATTTCTGTACGCTGTCAGGAGAGGGAAATTTTTATGCTTCTTTCTTGGTCTCAAGGTGACTTAGCCAATGGGAGCCCTAAAGGCAAATTTTGGTAGCTTGTGTTTTGTAACATCAGGGATTAATTCTTATAGCTTAATGCTTTATGACAGGACCTTTACAAGGTCCTTGTCTCTTATGCAATTCAGTCATCACTGTTAGCTGAGTAAAGAAAAAACATTTGCATTTTATCTGCCAGTGTCTTCTATTAACTGTTTTGCTTTAATTACAAAACTGCTGTATAATAGTGGAGTTTGAGTTTTAGTAAGGATCTAGTAGCCTTTTGGTGTGCATGCTGTGTAATCATTTGCTTTTATTTGTCCTGTCAGAATCAGAAATAAAATGTCTGCTGATATCTGACAGAGGCGGTCAGCTGTCCAAAGATCCAGAGAGCTTGTCCCCAATGCTAGCAGTGGGGAAGATAGTTGGCCTTAGTTCATCCCTGTATTAATAGTAGCTTGAAATTCTTTTTTATCCACACCCGAGCACATTTTTCCATTTTTTGTTCAGATAGAGTGGGAGGGAAAGAGAGTAAGAGAGAGAGAGAGAGAGAGAGAGAGAAACATCGACGTGAAAGGGACACTTCAAGTGGCTGCCTCCCGCATGACCCAACAGGGCCAGGGATGAATCGCAACTGAGGTATGTGCCCTTAGCGGAAACCGAACCCAGGTCTCTGGACCACAGGCCGATGCTCTAACTGCTAAGCCAAACCGGCCAGGCCAGTAGCTTGAAAGTCTTATACTACATCTCCAGCCCCAGAAATGACTGTGCAAACTGTGGTAGAAGTAATTTCTGCATTCAAGCAAGACAGTCTGTCCATCAGGCAATTCCAGGATATGGCAGGACAGGAAGCAGCTTCCAGCCTGTGAAGAGCAACATCTGGTGGGGAGTCCTGTGTAGGAAGAAGAGAGTTGGCTGGCTGGCTGCGATTCTTCTCCTCCTTATGCTGGGCTGGGTTTTTCCTCTTGGTGCACAGTTGTGTGGGGAGAAGGAGCTTTGGAAATGACACCCCCAAGCGCCTTCTCCTGAAGAGTTGCCTTCCCTCTCCTTCTGATGGTAGTGTCTGGTTCCCTGACTGCCAGGGCTAGAATATTGGGAGGGTGCAGCCCAGCTTATTTTTACCCCTGGTGTTGGCACAGAACTCAGGAGACAGGCCATAGGCTCAGAAACTGTCACACTTAGCCAGCCTTCAGAACAAAGTCCTTTATTCCATCACTTGTTGGTGGGTTGTGAAAATATATTTAGCGTTCAGAGTCCATGGTGGACTATTAAAGCTGGGAATATCCTCAGAGGTCTATTCTGACCCCTTCAGTCTAGAGCTGAGAAAACCAAGAACCCAGTGAGGATGGGACATGCCAGAGTCATTGGCTAATTTGCAGCAGGAAGGGGCCCAGACCTGGGTCTCATTCCCAGAACAGCATTGTTTTAAAGGTTTTTGAAGCCCAAATGTTGGGGTTATTTAAGCCAGTTATGAAAAAATGTTACATTATCACCACCACCACCATTCTTAAAATGAGAGTACTGGTAGGGGTAAAAGTAACAAATTAGTATTAGCTAAGCTATTTTTTCCCCCAGTGTGTGGGATTGGAATAATTGTTTTATGCTTTTTAAGACAGTACTTTAGCCTTGCCAGTTTGGCTCAGCGGTTAGAGTGTCGGCCTGCAGACCAGAGAGTCCCGGGTTTGGTTCCCACCAGGGGCATGTTCCTCGGTTGCAGTTTGTCCCCGGCCCTGGTTGGGGTTGTATGGGTGGCGATCAGTCGATGTATCTCTCTCAGGTCGATGTCTCTCCTCCCCCCGCTCGTCCCACTCTATCTGAAGATAAATGCCAAAAAAAAAAGACAGTACTTTAAAGTAGCACATGTTCTGAGTAATAACCAGTCCTGAAAGGTGCTCAGAATTCTGTGGTTAAATAAGGTTGGGAATCACTACTTATTTTATTTGTTTTAAAGATTGCTAAGGCTTGTTAATTTGTTAAATGCTCTGAGAAATCCTACGGTAAAGACATTACTCAATTTTATTTGACCCAACGTTTCTCAAAGTTATTAAACCATAGAATCTTTCCTGCTAACTTTTGTAGTATTCCATGAAACGCCCAGTGCACCTTTAAGTTAACTTCCTTACTACCTGTGTTCTTTATCCACCCCTACTCCCACTCCTGCACCACACTATGGGCGTGGGCTTTTATGACCTCTTCCTTGTATATAGTTATGATTAGGATTATTAGAAAACTTCCTGCAAAGAGCCGTGAAAGGAAAGTTGTCACAAGAGTGCAGTAGAGGGTTTACCACACTTGGAGGAAGCAGGAAACTGTAAGCCAAGTGTTGTTAATTTCACAACCTTCAGTGGCACTCCTTAACCTCTCTATTAATGATGCTGCATCTGCTTTGTACCCTCTGGAGATGCAGGTCCTGCTTTGGACCAATTCTAGCGTGTCTGCTCCCAAAAGTTTCTCAGTCTTAGCCCTAGCCAGTTTGGCTCAGCGGTTAGAGAGTTGGCTCACAGACCGAAGAGTTGTGGGTTCAGTTCCAGTCAAGGGCAATGTACCTCCGTTGCAGATCGGTCCCCAGCCCTGGTTGGAGTTGTGCAGGAGGCAACCAATGTCTCTCACATCGATGTTGCTTGTTTGCTTGCTTGCCTGCTTTCTTTCTCTCCCCCCTACCCCCAACCAAAGATAAGTGGAAAAATATCCTTGTGTCAGGATTAAAAAATAAATTAAAAAAAAAGTTTCTCGGTCTTGTCGGGTGATGAGGAAGTAAAGGGCTAAAAAGTACTATAGTGTTCATTTGATTTTTCAGCAGTCCACCAACAAGCCGGTCACCCAGGCAAACGCCAGGGTTACTTTCCTCCTCAGTATTTCTGCCAGTTTACCCAGGTGGCCTGCATTGATCTTGAGGAGGGGAGTGGACCAGCTGGTGGTGCTAAACAGAGAAAGTCTTAGGTCTTTGTGAGTTTCCAAATCACACAGTATTACTTTCACATGTTACCTTTTTGCAGTTAAAAGATAATCTCAGTTGCTCAGCCAATGTGGCTCAGTGGTTGAGCATCGACCCATGCACCAAGAGGTCACCAGTTCAATTCCAGGTCGGGGCACATGCCCAGGTTGTGGGCCCAATCCCCATTGGGGGGCAGGCAGGAGGTGGCCAACAGATGTTCTCTCTCATTGATGTTTCTATCTCTCTCTCCCTCTCCCTTTCCTCTCTCTCTAAAATCAATAAAAGAAAAAAAAGATAATCTCAGTGGTATGGCTGCTTCCCAAGGATTTAAAACAGTTCTCCCCTATAGAAGGATAAAGTGGTGGCATAAACATGATTTAGGTATAAACAGAGTTACATGAAGTTCTCA